ACAACACTTAATAAGAGTCATGGGGTACAATAAGAATAGAATTCTTTATTGGCCAAGTGTGATTGGACACACAAGGAATTTGTCTTGGTGCAAATGCTCTCAGTGTACATAAAAAAGATAAATTTGTCAAGAATCATTAGGTGCAACACTTAATGATAGTCATAGGGTACAAATAAGCAATGAAATCATACTAGGAATCAGTCAATATTCAACCCAGGGCATTATCTTTGAGGAACTGAGAAGAAATGCCCAAGTGGTGGTGGTGGTTGTTTTTTGAAGGATTGTTAGCACCTTAATATTAGTGAGGGAGTTGGGCAGCTTAAAAATGTGATCAATAAATCCTCATATTACCAGCATGTATATGTAGCAAATCTGATTTCCCCTGCTGACTGGTCCAAGATAAGGCTGTCCCTGTAGAGCGCAAAAGCTTACACTGGACATCCCAAAGGTAACTCAAAGGTGCAACAATCACTAGACTTACTCTGGATACTTTTACTTCAGATACACTACAATTAAAGCCCTGGGGTATCTGCAAGAGATTAGAAGACCCCCATCTTCCTGTATCTAGGTATACGGAATAGATGTGCAAGGATTTTTTTAAAATCTGATACAAAAAGGAAGTTCAGTATAGACCTGTTAAGTTAAATTTGTGAAAGTTTACGATGCATTCCCTCTTTTGGAAAATCTACTCCCAGGACAGAACACCAGAAACAGTAAGCAAACAGGGCAGACTATTCACATCAGCTTTGTTATATAGCTGGGATATCCCGGAGCAGGAAAGCATTAAAAAAAAACCAAACACCCTCCAAATCTGAGGCAAACCTTGTTTCCCCAAAAGTACAAGTACCATTGTTAATAGCACATTTCATATATACACAAATAGCGTATCTGCTTTTCCAATCGATTTCTATTTTTTGAGATATTTATGCAGAAAAAGTGAAGTAACCAAAAAAGGAAGAAAAAAAACGCATTTGTAAAGATTCCCACATTATTGCTCCTGATATCTTGATAAAATTCCTTTTCTTTGGCTGTGATAGAGATTCCAACTTGCTGATAAAACCCGGTTTTCTCCTTCTGCCATTCTTATGCAGTTGGTCCCTTGGGTGAATATGTTCATGCAAAGAGCATCCTTTAGCTCAGTCATGCTGCCCTACCGTATTTCCAATTATCTTGCATTCTACCGAGTTATGCTACTCTGCGCAAATAAAAGATGAAATGATGACACCACTTTGGATATATATTTTTTATTATGAGTAAATTGAGATCTTTTAAGCATTGAATCATAAAAGTGCAGAAACTCTTTATGCTGAACTTTCACTCTTTTCAGCACCTGCCACTTGGATCTTCGCTTTCCCTTTCGCTGCCTTCTCTTCTCTGAGTTTGTGCTATCAAAAAAAACAGAAAACGGTTCACAGTCATTTCTATTCCTTTAAAAACAGGTATTCCAGAATAACATTTCAGAAACGTCAAGCCACTCACATTTTTAGCATGGCGCAGAATGGTGTTACGCCTCATCGTTTTGGCATATGGGTTCAGTTTAACCATGATTCTCAAATTCTTCAGTGGATTCTTCTTAAGGACTCTACGGCGAATCTTCTTCCTGCAGAACAAACAGATGGGGACACAGAACTGTGAACACAACTTTGGTGGGCCACTCGGTGTGCATGAAGGGACCAATACTGGGGAGAAGAGGTAACATGCAGAAAAGTAGTACAACACAACTCCCATCTTCATGGGAACACAAACACACTTTTGCCTCCAGAGGACATCAGAAACTTATGGTTCGGATACGTACCTGGGTGGACGTAGGGCCTTCTGGATCTCCTGGCTTTTGAGGATCCTTCCAAGGTCAGTATTGGTCATCTTGTGCATTGGCAGACTGCATGGAAAGACAGATGAGAACAAAGGTACAATTGTGTTAATTATTTTTCAAGGCAGAATCTATGTTGGAAGGTATTTTTAACATGATTACTATTTCATATTAAAAACAGGAGTGGAACAAGCATTTTTAAAAAAAAAAAAATGGACTGAGAACTATTATAGTGCAAACCCATCCAAATGTGGATATCCAGAGAATGGCTCTGGCACTTCAGATATGAAGGCCTGCAGGTATATCTATGCAACACCTCTCAACTACTTTACAGAGTTGCCAATTACACTAAGAAAGCCCCTGTCCTCTTCAAAGTTCAAGCACTGCACAGCTCCCACTATATTTCTATATATTATGAATTACTAAAAGAGCCATGGTGGCCCAGCGGTTAGAATGCAGTATTGGAGGCCGAGTCTGCCCAGTGCCAGAAATTTGACAGAAAGTCAACTCAGCTTTCCATCCTTTGGATGGAGGTAAAATGAAGACCCTGATTGTTGGGAGCAAAATGCTCACTTTGCAAGCCGTTTAGAGAATGCTGTAAAAAGCACTATGAAGCGGTATACAAATCTAAGTGCTACTGCTATATCCCCATGACCTGTATGTTGGAGAGATCTCCAGGGTCAACTTCTTCTATCAGTATTGGCAAGAATCTGTTCGTGCACTGGTACGTAGGCCTACAAGCCAAATGTCATTTCTGATCCCCAGATGCAAAAAAAAAGATACTGCTCAATTCCCTTCAACACAATGACCTCAGCACCATGAAAGGAACAGCAAAGGTGAACAAGGTGACTGAAGTCATCCCCACTCAAAAGCCCTTTGAGTTGGACATGCCTGGTTTAGGGCTTTCAACGCTCCAGTTTGCAAAGCTGAAAAGGAAGCGAAGGCAGACTCACTTGTAGCTGCTTTTCAGGGTGGCAGGCTTGCGCCAAGTGCCGTATAAGTCATCCAGCTTGCGGAAAGCACTTTCGGTCCAGATGCAGAAACGTCCAACGTGGCCACCAGGAGCGAGTCTCAAAAGGTTCAGCTTGTTCACGTTGAGAAGAGTGATTCCTATTAGGGGAGAGAATGCCAGGTGGCCTTTCATGTAAAAGATACCCACAAGGAGAAAGTTATTGTCTTAAACTCAATCCATGAAGTTTAGAAAGTAAATGTGTCTCAAATGAAATCCACCAGCTGATACTTAAGTCAGAACTTCCACCAAATCATGTGTTTTCAGAAACACGGACCAATGAAGTGGAATATCATCATTCAGGGCCGTCCTCCAGCCAACAACCTTGTTGTGAATCCTCGAAAGTAACGGAAAGGAGTACCTGGGATATTCCTGAATGCTTTTATGACACCATTGTCTTCGTTATAAATGATGCAAGGTCCCCTGCGCTGGATGCGACGGCGGTTCCTCATTTTACCTTTGCCTGCCCGCATGCGCTGAGAGGCATAGACCTGGACAGAAACAGGTGTGTAAAAATCCAAATTCACCATTACAGGACAAACAGATCTGGTACCCAGCAATTCAGAATTTCACTATCGTCAACGTTTATCTGAAACACGGACCAGTGAAAAATTCATCATATGCAAAGGCAACAGTAATTATTATGTATGCTCAGTACTTTTTGGTATCTCTCTTTGCAGTAATCATATATATTTGTACCAAATGCTAAGCTCTTTGAAGTTAGTCAATTCTAGTAATAAAGTTAGCAGAGATTTTTCAAACTAAATAAAACAACTGGCCTGTCCATCACTCAGCCACTCTTCTGCTTTAATTGAAGATCCAACCCACCTTTTTGATATCATTCCAAGCTTTCAGCTTCTTAAGTAGGAGAACAGCTTCCTTGGTTTTTTTGTAGCCTTCAACTTTGTCTTCAACGACCAGAGGAAGTTCTGGAATCTCTTCAATGCGGTGACCTGACATAAAGATAGCAAAAGTGTCATTGAAAGTTTAGTCGACAAGCGAAGCCCAAATACTACCACCCTGACTTTTCTGTACACACAGTATTCAAGAGATACCCACTGAATTTCTTCAGAAAATGTGACACAAAACAAAGGGCCTATATGGTGGCAGGCAGTGGTCATTACAATCATACAACACTTGCACTGAAGGCATTCCATCAGCTTTCAATTCATTTCTGGGTACATCTAAAGACTTAATGGAGTGATCTAAGTTGTCTCCAGGATGACTAGTTTGTTGAATGCTCTCATCCTGGTTGAGCATACTTCCTATCACTCCCACCCCTATCCTAATGGAAAGGAATAAAAGCAAGCTATATCTTTATGGTGCTCACAGCCTTGCCGAATTAACTTCTCCCTAAAGGTTCATTTGGCACCTACCCCTATACAACTCAATTAAGGCTTCTGAGGCCTTTTTTTGTAGTGTTATTATACTGGAGTTTGTATCTGTTGTGTTTACTTTAAAATTACTGTTTTTTTTAGAATTGTGGCATATCATTAGTGTGTTGCAGTATTAAGTTTTATGGATTTATCTATTGTGAAGTTGTGATTACAAGGACATTTATACAAGTACGGTAGTATTTGATACCTTTTTCCCAGATGTTATTTTATAGACTCAGTTCAGTTACATTTGCCCTGTATACCCAATGCCATCGCAGAAAGACACTTGCCTTTGGACATGACTAGAGCTGGAAGGGCAGAAGCTGCCAGAGCAGAGCAGATGGCATAGCGCTTCTGAGTGATGTTCACTCTGCGATGCCAGCGTCGCCAAGTTTTGGTTGGGGCGAACATGCGACCTCCACGACACATCTATGCATCAGGCGTCAAGGATGGAACTAGCTTTTTATTGCAGGAAGCCCCTCTTCCACCTTGCTCAGAGTTAAAGGATCATCAATCACCTGTACCAGCTGATGACAGCAGGCAACTGTCACTGAATACAGAGTAAGGCGCAAATTACAACATCACTGCAAGCAAGGGGCCTCTTTTCTTCTAACCAAAACAAGGCAAGCAATTGGTGTTAGGTTTCCTATGCTACAAAAGGGCTTTAAATGAATTGCCCATCAAATACAACGTATTTTAAATCATAACACAGAAGTTCAAATGCCATTTACCTTACATAGTTGCTACGTATTATCAAATAATTTGTCTAATGAAGGATACATTGCCAAAAGCACCCTGGCCAGATCGATGAGTTCCACCCCCACGAACCCTTGGAATACGAGCAACTGCCCTTCCAGTACCCCAGGATTCAGCGCTGGTCTGGTGCCCTAGGGAAAAGGGGAAAAATAAATTATTTTTATATGTTCGGGTATTTTCCCACATCATTATAGTTGTGTTTTTAAAGTTGTAGCGACATTTCGGCAGAATCTCATCTGCCATCCTCAGGCTTGTGTATTGTGTTCGGACAATCTATATATATAGCGTGTATGTATGTAATTATAATATATATATTCACCACACTGATTATAGATTTTAGATAATCTCCCTAAAAATTAAGCACCAACATCAGAACATTTAGTAATATTAAAAGCAAACTTTTTCCAACAAGCCTCTGGAAGCAAACATGTTTCCTAATGAATCCATAATAAGCCATTCTAAATGTTATTTTCTGAAAGTGGTTATATTTGATTTTTTGCAAGTTGTGTATTATCTAAAGATAATATGATTACAGTGGCACTGAGATATGGGAAATTCAGACCAAGAGTAAAATTTCACCAATCTGTGCGTACTAAAATGCTTTGTTGCAGAATCTCATTTTCAAACACAATGACTCTTTGGATGATCTTAAAAACCCAAACTAAGTCAAAACACCTATAACGTTTGGGGTTTTTTTTGTGTAACATCTAAAGGAAGCATTATGTTTCATAGTGGATTACTGCATATTGCAAATCAAGTATCATCACCACTGCTTTGGATGTGATAACTACTATCAATTTTAATATTGAAAAGCACTGAATGTCCATCTTTCAAAGTTTGCAAAACACACCTCTTCTGCAACGTACCTGCAAGTTCACTGACGGCATAGGGCTGCCTGCTGTTCTTCCTCAAATTAGTGTGAACAAAATTCACAATGTCCGGGCGAATCGGAGCCTTGAATACAGCAGGCATGGTGACATTTTTACCTGAAACCTCTCCCTTTTCGGAGTAAACCGATACTAATGGCCGAGTACAAGCCTGGAGGGGGAAAAGGAGCATTAGACTTGCAATTCAACTCATTCTGCTGCTGATGCTCACTAACATAGAACTATTGCTCAGTTTGGAAGAGTCGTCAGTTCAATGGCAACAGTTTATGGACGGCAGGCAACCGTCCCTGAATACCAGATAGGACGCAAATTACAACATCACAGCAATACACGTGCTCAATGCACGCCTATACTCTGCATGCTGCAGCAGTGCATTTCCACTTTAATGTTAAATGTGAATTATACTGCCTCTCAGCATGGAAATTTGATTTACCTCAACACTTGGTTGGGGGGAAGAGAGGATATCATTTAACACTGAGCAGTTGAAAGGCAAGAATAATGGAAGAACCGTTGTGTTGAACCTCATTTCTGTCACCCACCCCAACCCTTCAGCAAGCCCTGCAGAGCTTGTAATTTGCTTTGCTTCATAAAGCCCCTATGTGAATTCCAGCCACTTACAATCATTCCCAGGAATAATGTTGCTATTATTACTATTAAGATTTTAAACAGTGAGAGAAAAGAATTGTTACTCTTTTATAATGGAATTTTTATGTAGTTAGACTAGAAGATTCTTCTTTGCTCTTTTTGATGCTTTTCTGTTAGCTTCCTCTTGTTCTTTTTCTATATAAAACCCCCCACCCTAAAACCTAAAACGTGTTCGGTACAAGTTCATGATACATTGTTCTAAGGGACATCCTCCCAAGGTAAAGCCCAGCAGTAAAACAAGACACTGAAACACAGAAAACAAGGTCGTGCTGACCCTCAAGCTTATAGTTAATCTCATTTTAGAATATAGAGAATAAGGGGTGTGTGGGGAGGGCCTCTTAGGCATGGCGTGTTCTGTGCAGGGGTACCAAATGTATTGTTTGAATATGGAAGCTTGCTCTTCTTGTACCCAATCCACTTTGGAAGGGACTTGAAGGCCCGTTTGCAAACACTTGTTTTCTTTAATAAACCTTTGAATGGTGAACCAGACCTGTTTCTGTGTTGAGTATTGAATAATTCGGTTCTTACATCTCACAATGGGGTCAGAATGATCTATGTACTTTATTATTATTATTATTATTATTATTATTATTATTGGACCACAGTAATAGTTTAGATCAGGGGTTTCCAACCGTGGCAACTTTTAAGACTTGGGGACTTCAACGCCCAGAATTCCTCAAATTTTAGCTGCTAAGGTTGGAGACCCCTACCCTAGATCACAGCAATACTTACGTAGTCACACTAGGTGCCACAAACCTGCACTCAACCTGCAACTACAAAACACTGGAATGAAGGCAAGTGGCTAATTTTTGGCCTTCATGCTAGATCTGGGAGATAACTCGATACGGAGATTCCATAGGGATGGGTGGGGGGGTTCGTGTTGTGTGTATCATCTAACACTTCAGCCCATGCTCCTTGAAGCAGCTGAAAGGCCTTTAACACCCCGACCTGCTGACTTGCTTCCAGAAGCCCCAATGTGAATTTCAGCTCTTGACAACCAATGTCTAAGACTTCATATATTTATTCTGTCCAGGTTACAGGAACTACCCAGCACGAGGTTGCAGCAAGAGTCGTGCTTTAATGCGGCCAGGAATCCACGCATCCATTATTGTTGCTGCTGGTAGAAGGATCGCGGATTAACTGTCCGTGGCGCCCCGCGCGGGAGGGCAACCGTCCCTCCCCCTCCGGCCTAAAAGCGGGGGAGAGGGGCTCCCTTGAGAGGCGAGGGCCGGGCCTCCCTCCTTGGCTCGCGCGGCCTCCACGCGGCAGCGACTCCTCCAAGATGGCGGCCTGCCCGGCCGGCCTCCAAGCCTGCCCGGCCTCCTCTCTCTCTCTCCCCGCGTTCCCCTGGAGGCGCCCCTTTCGTTCCCCCGCTTGTCAGCCGAGGCGTTCCGGCCGTCTCGCGCGGCTTATCCCACCCCACCCGGCCCGGCCCGGCCCGCTTCCCTCCTCACCATGATGGGCGCCTTCAAGACCGCTGAGGAGCCCCTCGCGCGGCGCCCTTCTCCGCCTCAGCCCCGACCGGAAAAGGAAGGCCGCCTCGCAGCTCTTAGGCTTTTGCCGCTTGCGCGCGCACGGCCCCGCCCCTGACGAGCCGAATAAGCTCCCCTCAGCCGGCAGATCGCCCGCATCTCCTTCCCTTTCCGTTCTGAGGTCCTCGTCTGACGAAGATGAAGGGAGGAAAAAAAATAAGTTTCCAGCCGTATTCTCCGTTTAAAGTCTCCTCAGGAGATGCCGGGATTATTTTCTCGGGGGGAGAGGAAGGATCCGGCAGGCGTCTCTCTTACGGCGGAAGGATTCCTCAGGGGGGTCCACGGGAGATGATGGGAAGTAGTTCTGGCGCGCAAGTTCGAGCTACGGGAAGCGACTGCGCGTGCGCGCGGCTCCCGGTTGGCTGACCGTCTCTGAGGCGGCGGCGCTCGGATGGCTTCCCGGCGGCGGCAGGAGGAGATCCTCCGCTTCCATGGCTTCCTCCTGCAGTAAGTGGGCCCGTCCTCCTCCTCCTCTAATCTTGGAACTGTTTAAAAAAAAAGGGGGGGGTTAGCTCTCTGCTTGAATCCTCATAACAACCCAGCGAGGTGGGCTCGAACGGAGCTCCAGTTTAAGGGATGCTTATAAAAATAGAGGGGAAAAAGTGAAACGCCAGGAATGAGCCTCACTAAAATACAGTAATAGGACGGTTATTGTGATTTAGTTTTATTTTTATTCTCTTGCTAATAAAAACCAGCCGTTCAAATAATTGCATTTAGGTTTCTCCTGGGGCTCCTTTGCCTCATGCAAGTGATTAAGAAAAAAAATCAAGTAAACTGAAATTACCCAGATGTAGTTAGTTATTTTGCCATGTTTGGAAGACTCCATTTCTGGACAGGGGTTGCTATTCATGGCTTAACTCTGAGGGAAGATTTGAACCCTGGCTCCGTCCTTCATGAAAATACTGGAATGAGCTGAAATTCGTGGAGGCTGTGGGG